CTGAATAAGTAGTGTCTGTGTTGGAAAATGGTCAGCACTATGGAGAAAACAAATCAAGAAGATGGATGGAAGGGAGAAAGGGTAGGGTTAGGTATACAATATAAATTACAGCGGTCAGGGAAGACCTCGCTGAGATGAGATATTTGAGCAGAGATGCGGAGGACACGAAAACGAGCCAGAAGGCTTTCTAGGAAGACATTTTCAGGTAGAAGTTAAATACAATGACTCGAGGATTCCAGTGTCCTGTGTGCAAGGTCAGCAAGGCTGGAGCTGAGTGAGGGGAGTTTCAGGAGAGCAGCAAGAGATGGCATTGGAAATTTGACTCCTGCCCTGTGGGGAAGAAGGAGCCAGTGGAGGGCTTTGAGAGAGAACGAAGCCCAGTTTCCAGCCTAAATAATTCATGGATCATCGCAGGCTGAAAGGGAAAGCCCATGTGCCACTTTGTCCAGGTGAAGGTGGTGGTGGTTTGGACCAGAGGAGGAGTACAGGGTGATTGAAGAGTAATCAGTGTCTAGGTATAATTTTAAGATATAACTGAAAGAAGTCGCTGACATTTGACTGTTGGACAAAGCACAAAAAGAGGTCAAGAATAGCTCCAGAATAGGCACCCAGTAAGCCTTTGCTGAATGAGTGGATGAATGAATGAATGCAGGCCACACAGACATGAAAGCACAGGATGAAGATTTGAATCAAGGTTAGTGAGATGTCAAACTACTCTTCGTCCTTCTTAACTCCCGGATCTGACGTAGAGAGCAGTTCTTTAGAAGCAGGCACATACACACACACAATGCTATGTTTGCAGACAATCTCAGGAAGCTCAAGGGCCTCTCGAAATGTGCCCAGGAATCCCCCTCACAAAAGAGCCTGCTTCCTCATGCAGTCATAAAACTTGACTTTCAACATGCAGTTTTCACATAACTTTTCAAACATCTCTGGCATAAAGTGCCCACTCCAATCTCACAACGTGGATGAATATAATGGGGGAGAAACACAGTGTGCATCTGTGTCCTACATTTAAAAGCAACTATTACATTACATGTGTTGGAAAATAACAATGATGTCTGCTTTAGTATCATTTAAAATAGTAATCAGAGTCAACCAGTCCTCATATTTTAAAACCAAGGGGAAACTATACTTCCTTATAACAGGATTACAAAACTTAATAAAACATTTCTTTACCCATAGTAGATAATAATAATTCAGTCCAGCAATGTCAATTTTCTCACACTGGTAGAAATTTCTAATCAGCAGATTGAGATGCTTTTATTTAATAAGAAATTAGAAAATGATTTTAATAAGTTCATTTTGGTAAATAACAGAAAAAGTATGCTCGATGAGGAAAACATAATAAAGGACTATTGCTGTTTTCTGGAAATGCTATACCTGAACACTGAATGTTGAGGGGCTTTGCGAGTCCCATAAACAACAGTATGATTTACAAATCACTCTAGTCGGGATAAATCTAAAACAGCAATCCAAATGTTGCCCTCATATTATTTCCAGATTATCTGCTTAGTTTAAGTAAGCTTCATGGGTACATAGAAACAAAATAGTTAGACACCTGTTTTCACATTTAAGCCCTCCTGGGCCAGGGATTTAGCTCAGTGGTGCTGCTGCCTGCCTGCCTCACAAGTGCAAGGTCCTGAGTTCGATCCCCAGTTTTAAAAAAAATTAAGCCCTCTAAAACTTTAAGACGAATAAGGATATTTTGTGTCTTGCCTCATAATTTAAATGTTTTCATTTAAATTCCACAAGTTGTCTTCTAAAGTGGGACACTCTGCCATGATAATAAAACTATTTCAAGATGATGGGGTCCAGAGTTAAAGTCTAAGAACTGACACTGAGCTTTCTCAGAGAACTTGTGACTCCTACCCTGAAAAGCATTGGTGTATGAGCTGGGGATGGGGGCGGTGGAGGAAAAAGGAGAAAAGAAACAAAAAGAGAAGAGAAGAAGAAAGAAACAAAAGAGAAGAAGAGAAAATCCAAGCCCATACAGAAATTTTCCAACATTTAAGGAAGTATGCTTTATTGGAGAAAAACCTCTGGTCCTGTGTTTTGCTGCCAGTTTCTGTCCTGGGCTGCATTTTGTTGCCTCATATCCTTGGAGAGCTGAGAAAAATGTCTATCATTAATCTGTTCCATTATGAGGGGACAGTGAAAAAGGGAACCCACAGCTTTCCCATTTACTAAAACACAGGATCCAGCAGGATAACCTAAAAATAATAATACTTGAGCCTCGTTTTGGATTTTTTACTTCTATGGCCTTGCAACTGAGACAAAATTGTATGTAAATTTTTTGGCTCATTTCTGTAAGAGAATTGTGATCATTTATCCAATGAAAGCAAGAAACGGGCAGAAAGACATACAGACATTGGACTCTTTTTAAAAATCTATAAAATTTCAGGGCCCAGAAGCAGAAATCTTATGAGTTAAATTAGTATTAAATTCAGTTACAGACGTGAACTTTGGTGCTTATTGTAAAATGAGAAAGCATATTACATAGATGGTGGTAACACAGTCCCTCTGCTCTGAGTTGCTGCCTGGATGTTAGAATACGTTTCTGGTTAACATGCTTTCTTAGCAGAGAGTGGAACAGCCGCTGTGGTGTACGGTAGGAATGCATATTAACAGCATAGGAATTTGCATACCTAGGACTATAGTAGAAAATGCATAACAAAATTTATTTTGAAAGATTATTGTACAAACACACTGAATCCATGTTAAATCTTCATATAACAATGTTTTGTTTCCCTTTCTCTTTCCTTTTTATTTTTTTAAAGAAACTAAGATATCCAAGAAATAGATTAATAATCACAAAACCTGTTCCCTGACCTCATCATGGCCAAAGGTTTTCTTTTCATGTTCAAAGGCAGGAATAGAACAGACCTAAGTATTTCAAACAATCAGCTGCTTCTCATTTGTCTTCACGTGCAAAGATAAAGTGTAAAATTGATCCTTTCAATGAGCTGCATTGATAATAATTTTCTGCTGATGTATCTTATCTATTCTCTGGATTTTTGTTCTCATATGTGTCATATGTTTAATACAATGCAGATTCTGGAGATTTTGCAAATTTAGAATATGGTATAATATGCACAATTCATGACAGCATTTTGTGGTTCATGACTCTGATACTCTCATTTTACACTTAAAAATTAAGCCACATATGAGGTCAAATGAAATTATGGATCTGACTTTTATATAGAAATTCTCAGTACTGATACAAAAAGTGTGTTTAGGCTTTTGAACCAAAAGCTATACAAAAATAATCAGTATACTCGTTACCAATAACACATCCTGAAGCTATAAATTTTTATGTGGGCTTCAGAATGTCAGAATTTTTAAAACACATGAACCATGCCAAACTATCTACCTATTTTATCTTAAGAGGTTATAGCCTTATTCTTATTTTCATTTTGCAATTTTTACTGATCTATTAAGAGAAACAAAGTATCCACTTTTATCAACTATAATTCTCTTTGCCAATTCCCCCATCTTTTCTAGAACTGTCCAGGAAAAGTGCAGCAACTTTTTGAGGAGGGTGGAAATGGGTGAGGTATAGGAGGAGCAAAACTGAAATTAGTTTGAGGTCCTTGGTGCCAATTTGGATCCAAAGTACAATAAAGCAGCAGAATTCTAAACCTTTCCAAAAATGAGATTTATAGGGGGAATGCTAACACAGATTCAATAGTTCCAGCCTGTCAAGGATTACTCTAATACCGAAAGCACACTCTCTCACTTTGGAGGAGGCAATTTCTCAATTGTCAAACAAGGCTGGTGTTTATTTGCTTATTTTAAAACTTTTTTAAAGTTCACTTTATGGATAGGTATTTCTTAAATAAAGTGTCATTTTGAGGGGAAGGGAAGTAGGGAAAAGAAGAGGAAGGTGCAGTTTGCTTCTGGCTTCACAGTTCATTTTATCAGTAAGACTTTTCAACTCCGTTTAACTGTTACTACCCTGCTTTTGTTAAAAAAAGGAAAAAGAACCCCTGCCCAAACCAAAACCAAAAAGAGGGAAGTATGGGAAAAGCATGAAATACACCTGTTAGATAAAAAACACTAGACATCGCTGTAAGAAATAGAAAATATTTATATGAATGTTCCTCCAGAGGAAACAAATGAGAAAGAGATTTTTGAAGAGAAAGAAAAAATATCGTAAAGCTCCAAAAAACAGGAAAGCTATGATTACAATACTTAGCAGAATGCCAAGGAGAGAAAGACAAACTCCTAAGTGATCATTTTTGTTTATTGTGTCTGAAATGAAATGAGAAGGAACAGCAAATTAATGCTTGGAGAGATATGGAGATAATGAAAGAGTGAAGGTTACGGCTTGATGGAGAACCTATGTACTTAGAAATCTTTAAGAATGGATTTGCAGTGTTTCTGGGTTCTATCTGCCTGTCTGTTCATCTATCTATCTATCTATCTATCTATCTATCTATCTATCTATCTATCTATAATCTGTCCAGAAAAGTTGTTGTAGGAAGGGGAGCATTTGACGCTGTCTTCCATAGACCCCAATAAAACTATTATTTTATTCCGAATTCCTAAGAGACACAGAAGTCTCGTATGGTAATAAGAGAAAACACAGACATATACCCACAAGTTACATGCTATGAAACAAAACAAGGAAATAAGGAGCCCCATGCTGACCCTTGTTTGCAGATACTAATCTCAGTTTGGTTAAGCATCCCAAGACCAGCTTCCAGCTCCTTTTCACAGTTCTCTTTCCCGGTACCCAGGTGCACAAAGGAGAGGGTGATCTTTACAAAACGACATCATCAACAACAACAAAAACCTCTGGTTCACACAAAAGCCCACCTTGCAAATGAATGGAATATTAACGATCACCTAACAGTTGCACCGTTGGCAGGGCGAAACTGAGCACTAACACAGCTCTTCCTACAGATTGCCAGTGAAACCGGAGCAGCTCGAGGAGAAACGCACCTACTGTATGTGAAATGCTGGTGCAGATTTTTCCCTATCAGTCTAACCTTCTGTGTTGATGCATGAATGCTGGTACCCACTTACAGGGATGCCAGATGATCAGTGCAGAATGAAGGTCCCAAGAGAGAGGATCACATGGCTCTCTCTGCCCTGTGACGTCACTAGCAGATGGCATGGGTACCAGCTCTGGCAGTTGGCATCAATGTCACTTTTTAGAGATCAATGAGATAGTGCAGATACACACAGATCTAGAGGCTCCAGGAGACGATGCGACACTCAGCCTGAAAAGATTTGGAAGACCCAAAATGAAAACTGATTATTGAATGAAATTAAAACCTAAGGTAATATAAATAAAGATATACTTCAATTGATGCTGGCTTTGCATGCAAGTATTTAAAGATACAGTGTCACTGTCTTAGAGTATTTATATGCTCTTTGCCATCTATAACTTCTTATCATATTTCATTTTCATGATGTAATTATCACATACTTTCACTGCTATTATGTAACACTGCAAGTATGTGGACATTACTAAGAGTTTGTGTGTGTGTGTGTGTGTGTGTGTGTGTGTGTGTGTGTGTTGAGGGGGTTGGAGATTGTTGAATTGAAAAGTCTCTATTTTAATGTGCCTATTTGTTTGAGGACTTTAGATGAAAATACTTGCTGCTTCACCCAACAAAAAACAAAAATGCATTTGAAACACAAATTATTTTCCCCTTTCATTTGGGATTCTGAACACACGTGCACAATTGCAGTCAGAATCCTTGGACCGTTCCTGACAGATATTAGCTAGAGGGAGACTTCTGTGGCTCGCAGAACAAAAACACTACGAGAGTGTTTTTTGTCCAGGGTGATTTGAACAGCAGTAAACAGACAATTACATTGAGAAAAATCTTAAATGTAAAAGCAGTCTCAATATTTTCTTTGACTAAAAAGATTGTCAGTGATGGTTTTCATTCATTTATAGAGTTTTATCCAAATTAGCCTAATCCCCTTCTCTTTTTGAAGGCTGGGAAAACCGTGCTCTTTTACATAATTCTTTACTGATCAAAAAAGAAATCAGTTTTTAAATTGATCTGAGTAATCTGTCCTTAAATTTGTATATTCTAACAGCCACTTATCAAAATTTACATTTGTATAACAATAAATAAAGTTAGAGATTTTTTTAAAGAGCAAAAAAACCCCACAAATTTGCCAGCTAGGAGAGACAGCACTTCTCATTTTATAACTGATTTCTCTTCTATTTTGTTCTCAGAGGAATTAGAATTAATGAAATTCTGCATTGTTATCACATGTTTTGCATTTGCTTGAATTCTAAAATCCTTTTTGTGTATTAAAATCCAGTTAAAAAATCAAAGAGAAATGGCTATGGTGGTGGTGTTACAATGCATGCTTGCTGTTTCATTTTTTTATTATTTGCCTGTATAAATGAATCCTATTGCATGCATCAATGTTTTTATACTTACTAGTCTGCAGGAGCCCAAATATTATACTTAATGTAAAAAAATGTAGTCTTGGAATCAGTCTTTTTCACATGTTCCTGTAGTCTTATGGTTAAGTAATCAAGTATATTTTAAGTATATAAACTTTAAAAATGAAAACACTTTAAATATTGTGCTGGCATTTTTTCAGGTAATTTAAAATTAGAGAACCATGTTAACACTACCATTTGATGAGTCTGTTGTAATGCCAGAATCCCAGATGTGCAGAAAGTTTTCTAGAGAATGCGAGGACCAGAAGCAAATTAAGAAACCAGAAAGCTTTTCCAAACAAATTGTCCTTCGAGGAAAGAGCATCAAAAGGGCCCCCGGAGAAGAAACTGAGAAAGAGGAAGAGGAGGAAGACAGAGAAGAGGAAGATGAAAATGGGTTGCCCAGGAGGAGGGGTCTTAGGAAAAAAAAGACCACCAAGCTCCGACTGGAAAGGGTCAAGTTTAGGAGACAAGAAGCCAACGCGCGTGAGAGGAACAGGATGCACGGCCTCAACGACGCCCTGGACAATTTACGAAAAGTGGTCCCCTGTTATTCTAAAACCCAGAAACTGTCCAAAATAGAAACTTTACGACTGGCCAAAAACTACATTTGGGCACTTTCTGAAATTTTGAGAATCGGCAAAAGACCGGATCTGCTCACATTCGTCCAAAACTTGTGCAAAGGTCTTTCCCAACCAACTACAAACTTGGTGGCCGGCTGCCTGCAGCTCAATGCCAGGAGCTTCCTGATGGGTCAGGGTGGGGAGGCTGCGCACCACACAAGGTCACCCTACTCCACCTTCTACCCACCCTACCACAGCCCTGAGCTTGCCACTCCCTCGGGGCATGGGACTCTTGATAATTCCAAGTCCATGAAGCCCTACAACTATTGCAGTGCATACGAATCCTTCTATGAAAGTACTTCCCCCGAGTGTGCCAGTCCTCAGTTTGAAGGTCCCTTAAGTCCTCCCCCAATTAACTATAATGGGATATTTTCCCTGAAGCAAGAAGAAACCTTGGACTATGGCAAAAATTACAATTACGGCATGCATTACTGTGCAGTGCCACCCAGGGGTCCACTTGGGCAGGGTGCCATGTTCAGGTTGCCCACCGACAACCACTTCCCTTACGACTTACATCTGCGCAGCCAATCTCTCACCATGCAAGATGAATTAAATGCAGTTTTTCATAATTAATGAGGAAAATGAAAATAAACAGTGGTCATTCGCCTCCCCCGTCTAATTAAGACAAAGCAGATGCTCATGGGCTGTGTAATTGGCACAACTCTATCTAAGGTGTTTACTAGTTTCTGAAGTGTGTTTCAACTATTGTGAAAATTTTCTATGTAATAATAAATCTCTTTTCATATAAGAACTTCTTTTCTTTTCCTTTTATCTGTAAAGCACTGTGATTCTGTTTCCACTGGCAGGATTTACTTTTTCTTGTTTTATTTTCTTTGAAATTCACTTAATTTGTTTGAGCAAGGTGTCTAAGAATATACTGTTGATTAAAGACAACAGCACAACTCAGTGTCTATTTTTGGTTGTACAGTAATTATAAAAATGCATGTTATTAAGATCAGATGAGTAAAATGATGTGTTTATAATTATTAGGAATTATATATTATGTATCTCTGAAAATTGAAAATTTAAAATATTGAGAATATCACTTAGCTAACAATAATATGGAAAGCTGCATTTGAGGATGTACAACAATATAAAAAGCTATGCAATTTTGTTTATTTAGGGTGGATCTAGATGCATTCAGTTGGTAACTATTCCTCTTCAAGTATTTTGCAGATGGAGCATCGTGAGATTTGGGTAGGTGGTATAATAATTTTGGAACAATTATTTCAATCATAAAGAAAATTTTTTTCCAGCATTTGTTTTGTATTGTTCAGAAATTATCTGTACAGGTTTGTTATCACAGTGTATAATTGTGTTTTCCACCCCACATTTTTAAAGCAATTAAACATAGATATTTCCACTCGTAAAATACATCTATTAGCTGTGATATTTTTGCATGATACTTATTATTTCCTGCTACACAGCTGCTTTCTGTCTCCATCGCTCCCCCTTCCCCATTTCAGAAATATTTCTGGATTATAAAATCGCATGAGCTAAAACAAATTTCTTAAACAAAATGGCTAAAGCGCTTACAAAAATTTCCTTTTTAAAGTATCTTAAATGAAAGAAGAGCCCATGAGGGTTAAACATCTTGGGGAAACAATGATAAATCCTGGTAACCTTCAACTAGAGCCCAAATTCGGTGGCAAATTTCCAGCAAACACTAAGAGTGGATGTTAAAAATGGGTTTTACTCTGCACCGTTTAAATGTCTGGCAGATTAGAAGCTAAATTCTGTGTGATTAAAAGTTTCCTGACAAAAGGCCACCAAAAACTTAGTTTAATAGTGCCTAGGGTGTTAACTGTCTTGTCAGAAGTGAGTCTCCTTTAGAATAAAAGGCAAGGTGGTCATGACCTCTCTCTCTCTGAAGATGCCCTCTGGGGCAGAGTGGGGAGGAGGGCGGACAGCTGCACAGGCTGGAGAGGGTAACAGAAGGGGAGAGCCGTGGTGGTGCCAACGCAGGCCCTGGGGTGCCCCGCGGACCCCGCTGAGCTAGTTTAGGCCCGACAGGGCCTG